GGGTTTGGGTATTTTTTACTTTATACACTGCACCAACCCATGACCCGTGCCTATCCTACCTGAAGTCTTCCGATGAACTTGTCTTGACCGGACTCCCATAGCTTACTTCCTGGGTACTAGCTGAAGGTGTTCACTACTCGATTAAATTTGTTTCTTCAATGTGCGAACTTCACAAGTAGACACATACCGTCGCTTGGAGATTTCGGTCCGAACACGATCCCTCCATCGGTGGGTGCTGTTGATTACGGCAGTAAAGAAAAGAGGAAACAGAATTTAATAAAATGCAAAGTAAAGTGTGTGAACGATTAAATATGGAAAATTATAAGACACATAAAGCCGAATAAAAAGCTCAGAAGTTGAAGTTTGTAGGACAACCTTTTCATTTCATGCATACTCTTCGGCCAGATACGTGCAAATAACAAGGGATTCAAGACCAGGTTGTATTAGACTGGGGCCAGTAGTATTCCGATTGATTTGTTCTGTGCCTTCAAGGTAAGCTGAGTCCTCGTCAGTCGTTTTTGAACACAGTTATGGGTGCTGTCGAATTAAAAAAAATGGCTTCAGGGAGATTGAGTACTTGAGGTTTCTGACCACGCATGATGACTGAATGATGCGTCGGGGACTACCTGGCGACCGGTATTCCTCAAATATATAGTAACTCCTTTATTATTGCCTAGTAGCTGGCCGATAGCTTTCCGGAACGATGCTCATCAGTTGCTGGTAGCTCAGCTGGCACTCAGCTGTTGCACTAATTTACTTTTTTTCTTGCGGCACAGTAGCTGAGGTATTTTAAACCTCTAGCTAATGTGTATAATGATGAATGATAATGATGATATCGTAACTGCAGAGGCAACCTTTCTTCTCGATTCACCTGTTGCAACCTTGGCGTGTTCCATCTGTTTGCGGAGCCAATTTGGTAAAGCTTCATTAATTCCGGCCCTTAGAGTTCGAGCAGTGCTCCCAACATAGCCCTCTCCGCAACTACATGTAAACTTGTACGGATTCCCGTAAAATGCCCACTTAGGGTTGATCTTAAAGAATTGCTCAAGTGGAGATATAAAAGCAAATACATTTTTTCGGTCTGTTCGTCATCAGGCCCAACACATTAAAAAGCAGTAACAAGCCGACAAAATCATTTGTGAGTACAAAGAGTAGCAACTGAACAAATCAACCGAAGCGTGTTGATCAATATGCGTTCGGCGATCATGTGATGGAAGGCACGTGGGAATGCTGGGTTAGTCTCGACTGCTCGCGTTTTGGTGATGGCTATGGGAGCTGTTGCGCTAGGATGTGTTTCTTTGGAATGCATAGATTCAGATTTGTTAATCTTATGCATACCGCCTTCACGGTAGAAAGTGGTCATGTACTGGATCAAAACCGGCGTCTTCACTGAACACTTAGGCACTAACAAGCGTAGCGCAGCTGAATCGTATGTCTTGCTGGATGGCGTTAACTTGGCCCACATTCGTACATGTTCACTTGAGGTGCTGTTGAAGTAGACTGTTGACTATCTATGTGGGTTTATGGCGACACAAATATGCGACTACCACTCCCCATGGAAATGCTGCATTTTGTGCTTTTTCCGCGCACAAAATATGAAAAATTTGTATTTTCAAGGAGGAGCATGCCGTTGGGTGGATGACTTGGCTGTAGGCAGCTCACTGGGCCCTCCGTTGGAAGGTATCCATTTTTATCATTGAATGAAAGCACACAATCTCGTCCAGTTGGTGACTTGATGTAAAAGCTATAATGATGATGATTATATGCTGTTAGTCATGGATTCGAATGAAAGCATTTCACCTGCAAATTAGCACTGTAGAAACTGAATGCAAATCGTCGTTCCTGGACTGTGAAATACTGCGGACTGGACATGTTCGAAAACACTTTTGGCGGGTAAATAGATAGCCTGGATTCTTTCGTTGACAAAGTAAGCTAACGTCACGGTTGATTTTCAGTAGACAAAGGCATAATGAATTAGGAACGCCCGGCCTTTGCCGTATCGTTGTCAGGTCACAGTTCAGCCGCTTGTATATTTCGCTAATTACCTCTGATGCTCTGCGCAGCGGAAATATGTGAACCACTCTAACCTTCAGATTTTGTTCTGTTCTCCGAGCTGAACAGTTTCTTTGCAAACGTTTCATCACTAATCGTGGTGAATTCTTCAGTTCGTACTAAGCAAACTGAGCGGTTTGTCGACTCTTACCGCTCGTCGTTAGATTTTCCCAGGGTTTAGTCACAGTCTAGGGTACGGTAATCCAGATAGTCGAACACCTTTAAAACATCCTTACTAATGGATTGAACTCTGACCTACCAACCTCTGCGAAGAAGCACACAAACGATCCTGGTTAAAGCCCTGCTCCTTTGGCCGATGAAAAAATGGAGCTCTAGGAGTCCATGTTTGCTTTAGTGATATCTTGCAAGTCTTTGAAATCAAAGTGAGAGAAGTTGAGTTACAATATTTTACGAGATTAAAGAGGCGAACACCTCTGTGGACGATGGTTAGAATTCGCTGCTTTCAAATCGACGGAACATGATCTCCCTCCATGTAAACCTAAAGGGATCGATTTACTATCTCTGTCGTCTACTACTAGAGACCGGTGTGTGTGTGTGTGCACAACATCTATAACATCCTTAAGATCACTTCATCCGTGAAGATATGAGCCAGTCATTTTGGTTGTCTAGTGAAATAGAAAAAGCAAAAAAGGCGGAGAAGAAGGAGGAAGAGTGAAGTCGCACGGTGGTGGCTATTTCACTCCGCGATTGTGAAGAACCAAGTGTGACTATCGGTGGGAGTTGATGTTGCATTCCGAGGAAGACTGTGATTGCCCGTATGCAGTTTTCCAGTATGAACAGATGCGCTGTACTTGTGAGCCCACATCTCATACCCCGGTAAAATGCAGTGATATATACCAGTCTACCAACGCTGCCAAAGCTTCAGACTTCGAATAGATATTTTAACTTACCTGCTTGGGGACAGCTGACGATGTTAGGGATAGTCTATCTCAAAAGGAACTCGATATAAAAGTCCGCCCTATAAACTTCTTCAACTTTACCTTTATCATGAATGAGGGTGTCCTAGATAATTCCCATAGCGTCATAATCTACTTAGGTTTCTGAGTCTACCTCCGGTACATTGCCTTTACAGCTAAGTAGACAAAGCGTACCACTGACTTGCCAACACATTGCATGCTTCAAACCGGACAAAGAAATCATCCCGACAAAGGTGGATGGGGGCAGATTTATCCACAGCTGCATCGCTGACGTCATTGTGGCATGGTAACTCGTTTAGATGCTCACAAACGGACCATCTGGATCGCGTGCAGGGACAGTGATTGCGCAACGACGACCTAAGTGTCCATGTTTGTGCGTGTGATGCATTCGGGCAACGACAGGGAGCAGCTGCAATGTGCGGCAGGTGATAAATTTGGACAGAAGTCGCTTAGGCACCCTGTGAATAGGACATTGACTGCGCAACCGCTGCGCCATGGCAACGGTCTGCAGCTTCAGTAAGTGTTTCAGCGGTTAACGTTGAGGCAGCTGAGAAGTTACAAGTTATATATATATATATATATATATATATATATATATATATATATATATATATATATATATATATATATATATATATATATATATACTAATGCCAATTTATCAACCCCCGAGACTGAGAAATGTGAACTCGTACTTTCACCTCATGAAAGATAGCGATGGTATCCTCGTGACTAAGAGAAACCGTTTCACCACTGATCATTAGGTAAATGACGAAAGTTTACTGATCGTGATGACTGATATACCATAATATTTTCAGCAGTAAAAACTTCGTTTGGATGCATCAGCGAATAAAACTCATAGCAGAATCCCGATTATGCCGACTTAGTTGCCTGCAGTGGAAGTTGTAGGAGGTGCAGACAGTTCAATTTTAATTGGGCATATTCCGACCACATTCCCTGAGTTGCTGGGGTCGCTGCTTTGGTTAGAACAGGATCAAGTGGTATTCGGGTCGGCCCAAGCAATGTGAAACAAGCCAACAGCCCATCTGATGTAATACACTCATGTTCTGTAAAGCAACTAAGTGTGAAATGGCCATAGCCCCTCTTCAAGTATGGAGCATAGAACTAAATCTTGCAAGACCTCTGAACTAATGCGGTTGGCGGTGGAAAACTGAGAATGGGTGACATCTCATACTGATCGGGCCCTGGTTTGTCGTGTATACACTTCGCCAATTGACAGGGTAACTAAACCAAGCGATTTCCTCGACCTGGACTATTGCAGAACCAGTGGTACCGACAAAACAGAAAATCACTGCTGGTCTGATTACAGTTTTAAGATGTGGTGGATTTCTGTCATCCAAATGGCGTGAGTGATGATCGAATACTCAAGGTCATCCACTATGTGTCATTCCCGATCGACCACTGACTCGTGTGGTTGCGTCCAAGCCGTCTCAACGAAAGCTAGGCGTTGCAATTGTGCAGATGAGGAAACACGTTGTTTTACATGGTCGTATTGGTTAAAAAATGGATTCGTGCAGCAACTACGGGATACCGAATTCTAATAAGTATGACAGCTAAAGGTAATGAAACCAATCGAATAGGCACTTTTGCGAACCAGCGTTTATAGCAGGTATTTTCATTCACTGCGCATATAGCTCATCGGTGTCTTTTTAGGTGAAATTCTCTCGTATTTACTGTTGTTCAACCTACGCACTGTTGGGCGCCAGCACTCCTTTGGCAAATAATATCCTATCTCGATAAAACAAACGATCAGTTGTTTTGATGTTAAAAATGTTGCGCAATTTGCTGGCAAACGTTTCGCCAACATTCGAACTGATACCGTTAGATCAGGGATAAAGACCGCTTCATAACAAGAGCTGGCGGAAGACCAGTCTAATGGTGTATCCAAGTAACTCTGTTGATAGTCAACTTTGAAGGGAATAACCTAGTAGACATCTAATACGCTACAAGTGATACAATACAGCTTCGACTGCTTCATCTAATTTCCAGCTGTGCAACACGAACGTGGGCCGAGAAATTCCACACTCCGTCACCAAGTCGCTGCGTACCTCCATGAACGATCCAAACCTTCTTGCCCATCCGAGGGATGTGGTGGCCAGATGGAGTTGGGACTCTCGGGTACACAGGGCTCCCGATCGACAACATCGAGGTTACCGGCTGCATCAACTCGTTTTGTTTTGGACTCTTTGTCTTATGCGTCTCCCAGTCAACTGGACTGTGTTGAAAAACCTTCCGCCACATCAACGCTGAACACACCAGACAGTCAAATAGAATTTAATTTCTTGAGAAGTAATCCATATCACCGGTCTGATCCTACAACATGCGGCCGTTCACGGCTGTCGGACGGTCAAATACCGGATGGTCTGCGACAATTGGGGTGTTCGCGCTACGCTGATCTCGGCATCTCAAATGAATTCATGAACTTCATTGCACATAATTACAGACCCTCAATACAATGCTCCATAACGACGTCGTCACTACTGGATTTATCTATCAAGCCCGAGCCTTGCAAAGCCGAAAGTCGCAGCACTTCAGGTGACTCTTGCCTAGATGCTGGGCGTCGTAGCTCCACATTCTACCCCACCTCACCAGCAATGAAGGATGCAGGCCTCAAGGATACAACAGATCAGGTTATGTCCAGTTTGCTCCCACATGGTTCAGACAGGCTGCCATCCTCAGATATAAATGCAACCAAGATAAATTTATGCAACATATTTGGCGTGAATGGTCAGCCCCGCAACGAGGACACATATCGATGGCTTCTGGAAACTGGCTCCAGCTCCTTTCTGTACCTTCAGGCTTATCTTAATCAGTTTATGAGACCACAGATGTCTCAGGAAACGCTGCAACGGTGGCCGTTGGCTTCGAGTTCCAGTACATATACCCAATATAGCACACTAGTTTCCTCGCCACTTCCATCAGTCTCAAGCATAACGCCTGTCCAGAGACATTTTCAACCCAATACTCAGTCCACAGGAAGCACAAGGCCAGATTTCTTTGGATCCAATGGTAAGCAAGTCATTTTTTCATTTGCAAAGCTAATCACGTGCTCTGTCCCCGAGCCAATTCCATGTGATACTGTTCTATTGATTTGTGTCATTCACTGGCATCGGTGTCTGTTTATCACGTTCTTAATCCTTGGCACATATGTGTAAAATAGCTTGTGGGAATATAGTCTGTTTGCAGCTGATCACAATTAGGGATACTTATACGTTTCAAGCGTGAGATTCCACAACCCACAAATCGGAGGTGCCCCTGTAGTGGCGACACAGATTGAAAGTGTGAGGAATTGCTTACGGCACGTGGATCCATCAGGTTGGATTGAAGAAAGTACGACCTAAGTCTCATTATATGATCGACGGCTACTTCAGTGAGTCAGAGATGAATGCCACAGATACAGACATTTGCAATCTAGATGTAACCACAATAATGAATGGGAGAATTGGGTGGACTTAACTCTTGAGAGCCAGTTTGGCGAAAAGGAGCTCCAATACTCGGTAAATCGCTGGTCTCAATTGCATTTGGGAACATTCGTGATACAGAGTCGGAATCACTCTGTCCATTTGAATGAGTGCGTGCTACTTAGCGGCTTCGATTGCATCATTAATTTCACATGGAATAACTGATTGAAAGTTGTAATTAGTACCGAATGGCTCTTAGCAGATGTGGTGATGTTCCACGAGTTGCAAGGAGAGTTTCGTTACAACATTCATTCGTTACTAAACTAATGACCGATAAAGACAAAAACACAAAGCGGTATCTTAAGAACACCCCATCTTGCGTATTCATCGGCAACAATTGCCTATTTCGACAGGTTGGGGATTGTCGATGGCCGTATTTACTGAACGGCAGCAGGTGAATCGTGAGTACAAAAGATTCTCTGCCTTCAAAATTGTAGTTCCTAAGATTACAACTAACGCCTGGAGATAATTCCCGATTCCTTAAAATAGGCACTGGCGTTAATATAGGTAACAATACGTCTTTCTGCAACCATGTAACATAATTCAACTGACATCGATTTGGATGGTACAGATATAGGATACCGTGCTAGGATATCCAACGCAAATACATGAGGTCTGTCTCATCAACCAATTTCAGAAGGCTCGCTCACTGAGATCCTTCCGTTCTTCTCCGAACTGGTTGTTTTGACTGCGGAAGATTCATCGCGAGGCTAATCGATATCCGAGCACTTGTTTCCATGGACAAATAAGGGGAAAAAATAAAGATTAATGAGGATGTACGAGACCAACGGGAGGAGGATGATTACTTGACCAGTCTATATGAATTCATTATATCTAGTCAGGCAAAACAGTAAGAAGCACTTTTATTTGGAAGTGGATACTGTTGTTCTTGTTGTTGTCTAGCTTGGCGATAAAACATCTTGAGACAAAGTGCGCAGTTCGGAGAACAACAGAAACACTCGTCCGCACCTCCAGCTACGAATGGGCTCCATAAAAACCTGTATACTGTTTGACATTGTGCTCGACCATCGTGAAAGGTCGACAATTGGACTGTTGAGCGAACATTGATTGCATTACAAGAGTTGACTGCGTCTCGCCAACCAGACGATCTATTTCTCATACATGAACAGCAAAATGACCATTGGACTGGAAGTTAGCCAACAAAACGGATACTCATGGAACGCTAATTGACTAGCTTGTGTTTTGTGGATACTTGCTCGGTTACCACTAATTGGGGATACATTTTGTTGATGCCTGTATCCCCTTCGTTCTTCCTTAGGTGAAGAACCAGCCATTGACGTGACAGGTGTCACTGTCAACCACAACACACCCGAACAATCTGCCGATCAGACTGACCGTTCACAGGATGTTGTAGCTTTCGCCTCACAGCAGTTGTTCCGCACCATCACGTGGATTGGCACCAGTCGGCCGGATCGACAACTGCGGGATAGTGCGTTATGCCTCAATCTGACATCCAAACAGCTTTCGCTTTTGGCTACTCGACACTGGGAATTCCTGTTTCTGACCAATACCCTAGAGGCCATTTACGAAACAGTGAAAGCAGAGAACAAATCGGAAGGTTCCTTGATGAATCAAAGTAGAACGCAACGATTAAACGAACTGTGGTCTCAGTTTATCATCGCTCCTATTTCTCAAAGCAGGACACATCAGAACGGTTACGGTAAGTGACAATGTGAGAAAACAATTGCCTACCGAATGATAAACATTGGTTCAATATTACTGAGTTCAACGATATAGCATAAGCTGTGCTTATCCTAATCGCATAAAATGACAATATCAACCAAGGAAACATGCATGGACACGTGCAATTTAATTGAAAGGCCAGTTACTGTCAAATGGTTCTGTTGGTGTTTGCTATTCGTAGACTATATGTCGAGATTATGAAAAGCATTACAGCGGGTGTTACACAGTACTCAATGTGGTAGTATGTTGGTGCTTCCCAGCTTCGGCTATCCTGTCAGTATAAACACCTAAGTAATTGCAGCGGCTGTGCAGTATTCAGTAATTTAATGCCACTTGGGTCCCGTGACTGAGCAGTTCAGTGAAATATAGTAGCGAGGATATCCGGTGGATAAGCAGTTTGGTTGACAATTCATTGCATTGCCCAATAGGACTGCATGACTTCAGTCAGACCCATTTTAATGGGACGAATTCCAAGTGACAGAAATGAGTAGATAATTATTAGAGCCAGACATTTTTCGCATTTCTATGGATTTAGTAACGCATTGAAAAGTGGGATGGATTTTAGTGGGTAGAGTAGCTAAAGTTTAAAAGACAACAAGGTGAACTGTCAAACGGTGATACGTTTTCTGATGATCACGCCGTCAACATGTTTGAAATCGATAAATAAATCGGTAGCCTTTTTTCTGTATAACCCATACACATCCTAACTGGATGTTTCAGAGGATCTCATCATGCGTCCGCATTTTATTATATGAAATATGCTTCAGATCTCAAACACAAATTCAGTTTGGGTCCCTGCAGCTATTCTTACTGAAAAAGTCACTTCTCTTTCCATAGAACTATGATGTATTACGGGTAAATCAACAAGTGCTTAACAAGTCCAGTGGGATAGCCGGAATGAGAATCACCAAATGGAGAAAAGAAAACATGTAATAAAGTGAAAAGCGCTTTGGTGAAATCGCCAGTTTCCACGTGCATAAAATAACCATCCTCCTATTTGTAGGAGGGGGCTGGCTGAGGCACTGTTTTTCACTCATATCATTTCCCGAGGTACATTGGTTATATTTCGTAATATATGTGGGTCAAAACTACATCAAGATGCCTTCCAAACACTTATTGGATGGAGGCGGAGAAAAAGTAATTAGGATGGGTGTGCGTCAACTGAAACACATAAGGAGCGAAAAAGTTTGGGTTTTGGGCGTCTAATTTGAATCGATGACATTTCAGCTTCGTGTCTTGACTAAACAGCTGTATGTGACGGAAGACGTGTTTTCGCTTCCTCATAATCTAGTATGTCATTAAAATGTCTTTTCATAGGCACAGAGAATGATCGTTGCACAATCTTGTGATCCTCAGCCAAAGTTCATACGAAACTTGTAACAGTCCTTTGCCGTGCTTAGTGTCTTTTTGTTGTGAATTATCCAGCGTGGCTAGATCCCCCTTTTGCTTGGGCTTCCAGATCTGGAAGCGTATGCAATATGAGACCGCACGTAGGTGCTGGGTATCTACGGACAGACAGATGGATCAAAGCATCCGAATGAACTACACAGCATACCAACGTGCTGGGTCCCAGTTTTGATGCCTCAGACTGTTCTGAGAAGTCCAGATCAGCCTGAATTAATACACCAATGTCGCGCTCTTGGGTGCTTGCTTGCAGGAACAATTCTACTGGATGGTAGATCATGTTCGGTTGATGACGAATGTGGACCACCTTGCACTAGGACGAATTAAACTGAAGGAGGTTGTGGTTGTCCATTTGTACGCACTGTCTAAATCGCGTAGTAATGCATCGTGATCTCCATGGTTGGCGATTGTCCGCCACATTTTGACAGCATCTGTGAACCCAAGAAATCAGAGGCGATCAGCCGCGTAAACTTGTTAATGAACACGATAAATATACGTGACCCCAGCGCTGATCCTGGTGACACTCCACATTCGGCATGCATTGCACCGGACAGCGCCCTTCGAAATCTAAACAGCGGTTGGGGCAGTCGCAGGAAATTCCTGATCTACTCAGAAACGGCCTATAATCTGCAGCTTTAGAGCCTGTGAAACAGAAGGTGGCGGTCAAGTCTTTCGCAGGAATTGGAAACATCTGCGTAAATGACATCACTCCATGTTCCCTTCTATGCTTCATCCGTCCAACTACGCCGGGAACTCCGTAGGTTGATTGCGGATGATCGTTGCTGACGGAAACCATGTTGCTCCCGTGGTAGGAGGTTGTAAGGTTCTAGATTGCTGACTAAATCCTCAGAGATGATTGCCTCCATCACCTTTGAGAGTAAAGGGGGAGGACTACTGAGCGATAGTTTTCAGGTTCCGAACGCCTGCGACTTCTAAAATTTGGTGTGATTAGGCCATATTTCTAGTTGGTTGGCACTAAGTGTTAATTCAAGCATATTTGAAAGAACTGCGACGAAGGCTAGGTCGCCGTTGTTGCTGGTATGTTCATTACCCTGGGGTGAACGCCATCGCTTTTAATGTGCTCGGTGAGAGCACCTGATGCGAGTAAGTTTTGAAGTTAGGGTGGTGGTTGTGGGTGTATTACACTGATGGGCGTCTATATCTTTTCTCAAATCGTTGCCTCCCATATTCAACTGCTTGCGTCGGCCACATTTGAAGCTGCATCGCATGCCTCAGGTGACACGTTGCAAGTATGCATACTTGTGAGCCATACCCATTGAATGTGTCCGCGATGGGACACCACGTGATCTGCTTGCCACCGACTGTACTGGTACGGGGAATAACGTACCGGTGAAGTTAACTCCATAAACACGCCAACTTGAGTGGATCCGTACAACTGGTGCGGCAGTTTGCTCTGCTTCAAATGTCACAAAATCCACTTGTACGCGCCACTCGACGAAGGTAAAGAACATAATAAGAGTTATGAAGTGGGACACGACTGGGAGCATGTTGCACAAATACTGAACCAAAACCTGATTATCTGCCGCACGAAGGTTAGACGTTAGTTTCCGGAGGCGCGTTGTCATTCTTCATGGCAACGCGCTTTTATTCTGCATTGGTTAATGACACACCACTTATTGAGACGTATCCAGGTTTCTCAATAATATCATCAATGCAGTTGCCGTTCCGACTCTTTTGAACCATGAGGATACACTATGCTTGTCTCGCAATGCCACACCGGAAGCATGCGCGAACTGAGTGTCTGAATCTCGAACCCATGAACTAGCGATATATAAGTGTTGACACCATTGCAAATCATATGCATGTATTCAGTGAAAAACAGATTTATAAATTCACGCAATGCATAGCATGCTTACGTGATCGGTGGTTTGTTAGCAGTGCTGGGGCGTCACTCAGATTTGTGCCTTGGACATAATTCCCTCCAAGAAGTGCATGCTCCACTCGCTCTTGCATAGTGCACACTCAGGATCTCCCTGAAGCATCTCGGAATATTGCCTCCTCATGGCTTGTTTCACAAACGCTTTGATGATTCTCATGATTCCCTTAATGGGATTCAGTGATAGAGAATATAGCAACAGAAGCAGAAGGCTGCCCGAACAGTATGCTTCCTCTTGGAATACGCGTTCCCAATTCGTGTGATATGGCGCGTTATCACGGTTCATGAGACAGTTTTCGATAAAAGTCAAACCTCTGACATCCAGCAGTCGATGTAATCACGCCGTGCATCTTTCCTTATTGAATCTTCCTCTCATGATGGTAGAGTCTATTAATGCATCTCTCGTATACGCTCCAATTAGATGTAGCTTTTGGCCTAGACAGTTTGGCATTTTACATTGCTCATGAGTTTTACGCAGTGAAATCCCCATGTTGCGAACATAAAAGAGATTTAAATTGGCTTCATCTATCCACACGGCTCGTCTCCATTCGGCTTCAGATTGTAACAGTGCCAAAACCTGGGCTTTCCTCCGCATTTTGTTCTCATGTGTTTTGACGGATTGCGGAACTGCCCTCAACTTCTTGATAGTAATTAGCCATCCATCCAATTACCGTGCAACTGTGCCCACGCTTACCTCAATGTTTAACTCCGCCTTCAACCGGAGACGTAGTATATGAAGAGTGACCGTGGGTTCTTTCGACACCCATGCTACCAGATAATCAATCTAACTCCCTGTCAGAGAAATTCGACATCCCCAACATGCTTTTCTGTTTGTCCGGTTGATTCCAACCATTTTATCCAACTGTAGCAGGTAATCAGGTTTACGTTCAGTACGTGTGCAAAATGATTCCAGTCATGTCCCACTTCGTAAGTTAGGTATTATCTTCTCCATCTTCGCCGGGTGGCGCGTACACATGCCTTTTGTGACATTCGAAGCACAGCAAGCTGCCGCACCAGTTGCATGGTTCCACACAACTTGGCGTGCCAATGGATTTAACTTCACCGGTATATTAGTCACCGTGTACCCCATTCTTAGGCTGATGTTGCACTCTTGATGCTTCTTCACCGCAGTTGGGCTAAACCAACTTACACTTAAACTAGGTCTTTTTAAGCTGGATACATTTCATTCCACTTTATTTGCTTTGCTCTGCCTACCTGAATAATCTTCTAGTAACTGACCACGTTGCTTACGCTAATTGCGTTTATCTTCGGTAAATTTGTTGCGTTTGTAGCATTTTTAAGTAACCTGGGGACATTTCTTCTTTATCGCGGATTCGTTGTTGACCAACTTATTTCATATGGTAATTTAGCGAAGAGTTATGCCACCGAATCTGTATGCATTATCCGATTTATTTTATTTCTTCTTGTCGTTTCAAGTGATTGGCTGTTGTTTGATATCCTCTGTGTGGCTGCGCTTGATGTGCATGTTGACAAGGTGGCTATCTGTCTATTACGCACTACCTCGTTCATACTGGCTCCAGGAAACAGTTGGTCGTTGCTGAAGGGGACGGGCTGCACGGTCATTGTGGCCGTGCTAGGCTCGAAGAGCGGTTCCATGCACTCGGTGTGGAGCGGACTACTGTCCAGCCACCGACTTGTGTGCGCTTGATTCCCCA